GGGACAGCACCGTGCCCTCCGCCCTGGGCTGCCGGGAACTGGGTTTACCTATAAAAGGTCCACATTGCAGAATCCTTCTAGAGGAGGGGGCAGCCAGGCCACGATCCCCAGGGGCCCTCCCTCCTCATGCATTCAGCTTCTAGGAATGAGTCCACCAACAACACATCGCGTCCTGCTTGGAAAAAGAACCTCTCCCAGCACCCCGTGTGCAAAGTTACTTTAGTTCATCGCTTTAAAAGCCTCTTCCCTACTTCCGCCCTTTATCCTTTTCATTTATTTATTGGAAGATGCTAGGAATGTGGAGAGGCTGTTAAGGGCACAGGACGTTGCATGGATTGGGTTGGGGCAGGGCCGCAGGACGCCGGTTCTTAGCAAGAATGAGCACACATCCACCAGTCCGACCGGGACAGGACGCATGAGTGGGGAGCCCCGTGACCGAGCGCTGTCTGTGCCCCAGCGGAGGGTACCCGCTTTGCCCCCTTCTTCTGTGATCCTGCCCCTACAATCACGGGCTGTTAGAGTAGACACAACATAGAGTGTCCCTCCCCTGATCCCATCTCTTAGGATTTATGCCCCGAAGGCTGCATTACTGGTTCCAGCCACAAAACCTACCCAGGAAAGGGCAGAGCAGCCCTACAAACTGCTGCTCGATTGTCGGGTGTCCCCGAGTAAGCTCACAAGTCCCGGGAGAAGGAACAAAGACGGAGATGGGGAGGTTCCTGTGGGTGCTTCTGTGCGGGGCTGGCTGGTGCAGAGGGCAGCTGCCTCGGGGGACGGCTCGGTGGCCGTTCCTGGGCTGGCGAAACACAGCGGGACCGCTCGAAGGCCACGGGAGTCCAGACACATGGGGAACCCCCCTAGACCTTCAACTAGGTCGGCAAGCCTCCCATCACACACCGCTCATGTTCTGCTCTCGCTGATGCCTCCCTGGGCACATGCGCGCAACCACAAAGTCCCTGGTCCTCTGAGAGACCCCGGGGAGCCCCCACCAGACCTCCAGAACACAGGTGTCTGAGAACTCTAAGATCACGACACTGAGCCGGGCGAGAACTTCTCCAGTGGTGACGGGGAACAGGAGGATTCATAAAGCTGCTAACCCAGGTGAGACAAAGCAAGGACTAACTACGGGAGACTGAATGAACGGACGGAGGGGTTACAATCCCGGTGACCTCGTTTAAAAACACGGCTGGCTCTTTGATATTTTCTTTTTCCATTGAAAGGACTCCTTTCCTCCTCTCTTTTAAGGCATTTATAACGTGCAGCCATTTGCTAAAGCCTATGCCTGTAAACACAGATTGAAAACACGTCCCCCTTTTCTCCCAACGGGATCTCTCCAGAATTCAGGAACTCTGATGCAATATTCTCATTCTTCATGACCATAAATATATTAGAATAAACTCAATGAGAACCTGTTCTCTTTGCAAGGCGACTCCACTGGACAAGTCCATAGCCTGGCTTCTTGGCATGAAGGCACTTTAAAGGTCTATCTGAGATTCCTTGTCATTAGAAACTTTTTTTTTAAGATTGTATTTATTTATTTGACAGAGAGATCACAAGCAGGCGGAGAGGCAGGCAGAGAGAGAGGGGGAAGCAGGCTCCCCGCTGAGCAGAGAGCCCGATGCGGGGCTAAATCCCAGGACCCTGAGATCATGACCTGAGCCAAAGGCAGAGGCTTTAACCCACTTTACCCCACCCAGGCGCCCCCATCAGACACTTTTAAAGAACAGAGGTTGACCTTAGAGAGCCCTTGACACCCCTTGGCTATGACCAGACTTTTTACTGAAAAAATACCATATTTGTGAATAGACATAGCATCAGTATCCTTCCTACACTGACGTCAATAATCCTATTCAATGAGTCTACACTGATTTTTTTTTTACAAACAAATGATATTTACTGTGTCTGTGATAAAAATGAAGTAACTACAAGAATTGTCTTTCAGATGGAAAACTAGGACGTGCCCATGATCAGTCTCTCCCTGTGAATCATCTCCGAGGCTCCATGACCTTCGTGTAAACTTCAGGGAAATCGCACGCAGAACATGTCCGGACAACCTTCGTGCCCACTGCTGGGTGGGAACGCCCACGACATCATCAAAGGGTCAAACTGCCAAGCGGGGGGACCCTCCCCCACACGGGGGACTGAAGCCGCCAACCTCATTCCACCATGTGAAGACGCTTCCAACTCCAGTCTAGAGATTTTCTCGACTGGCTGCTGAGAATCCACTCAGATGATCCACCATTGCTTTCCTTACATTTCCAAAGAGATGTCTCTTATTCAACGGCGGCTGGGCTCCCGTCAGACAGAGACCTGGTTTGCTCCTGACTTACAGGACTGTCTCCTGAAATAAACCATTCTCGTGCACATCGGGCCCTAAATGATCTTGAGGAGAGATGGTTGCTGATACCTCGTGTTGTGGATTGACGTCAGCAGGTAAAACCTGAGTCTGATTATATACACTGGAGTCGCTTCGTTGGTTAGATCTCGCTTTCTGGGAATCTACTTTTGGCCACTTATTTTCCTTAGGTCGTCTGACCTCTCTCTCCTCTCAAGGGTTTTAAATGCCCCTTAATGGTCACTCATGCCTCAAATGACATCCATTGGGATCTGACACCTTGGGGAACTCAGTGATCCAACCACTCATGTGATGGCGATGCACCTGTCAGCGCAAGGGAACCTGGGAGTCCTCAGCCTGGCTGCATTATCAGGCGTAGCAATGGAATGCCGTACAAGCGGCTCACACTCTCAGTTCACTAGGGGATGGACCCAAAGCAGAGAGGATGTTAAAATCACACGCAAACCACAGAGCCCAGCCTTGAAAATTCCTTGTGCTGACAAACCCAGTTTCGTCATGCAAGCAAAGCTTAATTCAGCTTGTTTGGCAAGACAAGCGAGGCCAACTTGACCGGGGTCATTGCTTGCTTATCCCTCGGAAAATCATGAGCAATACTTAAATTGTTCTCCTGAGTTGTTAGGAGATCACCCCTAACCCTTTGCCTTTCACTGAAGAAAATTCCCATACTGTAAACAATGTCCAGGAAGAATAGTCAGTCCCTACCTCCGGGCTGTGGGACCTCCCTGTTTCCTAACACATATGCAAGGACCTCCCCTGGCCCCCACAGAACCCTCAATTCTGAGCCTCATTCCAGGCTTTGCTTCCAGGGTTCCCGGCATGCAAACTTGTCCTTTTGGTGTGTTCACAATAAACTTCAGTGATTCATTGGTTTTACTACTTTTTTTTTTCCCCTGGACTTTGGACACAGCAAAGCCAGCCCATTCTCGAGTGCAGAAGACCCTCAGCCACCCCTCTTTGCCTTGTAGACATCAATTCTGGTTACTCAGTGATGAGGTCAAGACACCGGGGCTTCCCCAGCTCCCTCCCCTAAGTGGCCTGCGAGGTCAGGACCAGCCGAGCTAAAGTGAACATTGGTCCCAAACAGAAGAAGTCATGCAAACTCCATCTAACGCAGAGCTTTGAAGAAGCAGGGGTCTGGGGCAAGTGCCATCCCCCGCGCCCCGAGGCCTTCATGACGTCCAGGCACGTGGGGGTGGCAATGTGATTTGCTGATTGTCGGTATATTCTGGAAGCCCTTGGAATACAGAGTCATGCCTCTGCTTGCCGTAAGAATCTCAAGGTTTATTTCAAGAAGCCTCAGTTGGGCACGAAGGGAAACATCCAGGAAAAGCAACGTCTGTGATCTAGCTTTGATAGCACGAAATCCATAAATATTTGCTGGGTCTTTGCTCCACACCAAGGGGCTTACGCCCATGAGTGAACACACTTCGACGTGTCCATGAAACACATCTGGTTATGCGTTTTTCATCTACGTTGGCGATCACGATTTCTTATTTTCTCCCATAGTTTTCCGAAATCGCTATGACTACGGAAAACAAAGCTTCAACTTTCCACACTTTGACGCCCTTGAATTAAAGACATGAAGTCGTGAGCCAAAAGCCGGCTGCTTCCTTGGGCCCGTGGAAGACAGCATCATTTGTGAAAATGATCTTATAAAGGAGGCCTAGACTAGGCTCCCAAATGGGCTACCAGCCCTATAAAAATCCCTAAAAAGTCCTGGCGGTCTCCAAATATAGCCTTGTCATCAAAGCCACCATGCAAGGTAACAAGGGAGAATGCTTCTGCATCTCACAGGAGAGGTCTTTGAAGGTCTCCTGCAAGCCCCCCGAATTTCTTGGTAGAAAGGTCCCCATGATGGGAGAGATGGGTTTCCCTGCAGTCTACCCCATGGCCACGGCTGGAGGCCATTGCAGGCACGCAGGTCCCATGGGCACGCGCCCTCACATAGAATTTACTGTCTGCCTGCGTCTGTGTCCTTCCTCTTATTGCGTATTTTATCCTTGAAACAATTCATTAAAAAGTGAACGTTATGTTTAACTAAGTTACAATTAACTATGTTCTCTGGAAGGGAATGGCAGTGCTTCCTTCTGCCTCCCGTCGTGATCCCACGTCCCCTCCATCTCTCCCCCAGGACTCGGGTCTGTGGTTGGAACGATCGGGAAGGCAGACACAGGGCTGCTGCCACTCACGGCCCTGCGCAACACTGACCCGAGAACCACGCCAGCACCGCCCTCTGTGCTCCAAAGTGCTTGTCATTATAAAACAAAACAAAACAGTTTTGCTCTTTAAACAAAATCACGGTGAGGCGGGGATCAATATGGCATTGAGAACAGACCTGGTGGGTATAGTTTTATGCAAGGCACGGAGTCCTTTTACTGTTAAAACAGAATTCAGCGCTTAGGGAAGTAGTGATGGATGTTTAAATACAACCCCTCTTCGTGGTATTCAATGTTCACAGACACACTTTTATGGGCCAGGTGCTGTCAGAAGCAACTTACAAATAAATAGTGGCCCTTGGGGGCTTCCCACCCCTTCAGCAGGAGGTGCCATGAGGACATCTGATGTGGGGACAAGGGGACAGAGGTACGTGGAGGTCGGCTGAGCTGCCCACAGTCCCACAGCCAAGGAAGTACAGGAGCCAGGCTCAGAGCACAGCCAGCCGGTGCAGGAGCTCACCACCGTTCCTGCCGGAGATGATGGCAAATACAGAAAACAGCACCACCTGTCCAACGAAGCAGATCTGGGGGTTCCCCCAGCAGCTGAAGGTCCATATCTCCTGGGACCCAGGCACCCGGTGACTCACTCAAACCCGCCCCTGGTGGACCACAGAGCCCGCGCTTCCGAAAGCAAAGTTAAGGCTCAGTCCAAGTTTGAAGGGAGAAGGATGACTCGGGAAGCATGACGTGTGTCGGTGGTGCCCTCCTGGTCTTCTGCATCTACTTTCCAAAGTCAGGGCTGTGTATACTTATCGTACAATGAAATGATCAGAAGCCGAGGGTGCTGAGGGACCCAGGGAAACCAAAATTCAAACCTTGCGGATCAGTGTCCTTCCCAGCCAAGGCAGGAGGAAGCAAAACCTTGACCCTCCGATCTGAACATTTGCTCTCCTGGCCCCGTTAGAGGTTGATGCTTGCACCAAGCCACCGGCGCCCTGACGGGGAGGGCTGTCCCTCCTCTCACAGTCAGCCGGTGCCTGATTGGCCACTGAGGCTGAGAGTGCAGAGGTCACGGGAGTCCCCGTGGGGCAAACTTTGAATCCTGCGAACGATAGAGGATTTCATGACATCAGGGACCACGACGACGTAGAAGTCCTTGATCCTACCCAGAACACATGGGCGAGGAGGATCGGGTCCAAGGAGTCCACTTAAAAGTTGAAAGAGTGCATGACAAGGACGGCGACCAGACGCGCATTCTAGAAGAGCACCGTTCGAATGAAGGATGAAGAGACACCTTGAGAAGCACTGAAACCTTGGAGTGCATTTTGTGAAACAAACACAGACCCTTTAAAGATGACCGTTCTTGACTCCATACAACGGAACTTAAAAAGAAATACACGATAGAATGCTATCATTCTATTTCACAGATATTTTCCCAAGCAACTCACTCAACGTGTGATTAAATGTTTGTTTTAAGAAAGAAAATAAGGCAGAGCTGTAATCATGACCCCAGTCCTTCTAGAATGGGGGGAGGCACATGATTTTTATCATCTTTATCTTTTGAACAAATCCCAAATATTTTCTCCTTATTATGAAATGCTGGTCTGCATTTTAAGAGGATTCTCCATACATGGCTTTTCTCCAGTGTTAATAACCCTCGGAAACCAGACGCTTCCGGACCGACCTCAGAAGCTTCTCACAACAACAGAGCAGCCCTATTGGAACTTGCGAAGTCTCCTGAGTCAGCAACTGTGATGACAGGTGGGTTATTCTGTCGTTTCAATTTACTTTCTGTTCTTTCTCTTTTTAGGAGAAGGAATACCTCCGCGTGATGATTTTCTGTTGGGCACACTCCTTTAATCACAGCTACGCCGTGCTCAGGAACAGAGGTTCCCCCAGCCCTGACTTGGCAACATTCAACCTCGCCGACTTTTTTCGTTAAAGGGCGCCTCCTTGCCTTTTTTCACACACACACCCAAGGTAAAAATACCATAAATGTCATAAACCCTATGTCTCTTCTTGGGGTCTGCAAAAACAGACTCTCAATCACGCAACAAGTACCCATGTATCTACAGAAGAATTCAAAGCTAGAGAGAAATTGCATCCCTCTCCAAGTTCAAGGACAACTCAAGGTCAAAAGAAAGCGAGAGAGCGATTCGTTTACCCTTGCTTCTTTTGGATGCGGTTTCTGGCCCCCTTCCCCCGTCCCCTAACGCACGATGTGAGAGGCGCTGCTGAGTGCCTGTGGGCAGCTGCAGAGTTGGGCTTCACTGTGAAGCTGGAGGGTCCCCCGAAGGGAGCGAGACCCCAGACGTCCGGCCCCACCGCACACGAGGCCCGCGCAGGCCTGCCCGGGGCCAGCCCAGGCACCTACCTCAGGATGAAGAGGTCCACGGTGGAATTGCTGGCCACGGTGACGTAGGCAGTGACCACATCTCCTTGTTTGACTGGCCGGGAGGGCAACCAGATGACCACGTTGCTGTCCAGACGCAGCTCGCTAAGCTGGGCTGTGTCCTGGGCCCGGTAGAGGCTCACAGCACCAATCCTCTGCAGGTGCGGCACGGCCTCGTCCAGCCCGTCCCTCCCCGGCCGGATGGCATTGCCCTTCCGGACGTCGCCGCCCGCGCAGTCCGCGCGCGCGTCCCCCGGCTGCACGGAGTAGTAGAGCTCCACGGGGCTCCCCTCGGGCGGCCCGGGCGCCTTCTTCCTCCCGGCCACCACGCTGGGGGGCCCGAACCAGGCGGCCAGCAGCTCCAGCTCGGCCACGCACAGCCCCAGGGGCCCCTGCAGCCGGCAGCCGGCCCGCACCTCCCGGGTCTCGCGGAAGGCAAACAGGCGCAGGCACGGCAGCCTCTCGCCGGGGCTCGGCGCCGCCCAGTCCCGGCCCAGCAGGTGGAACAGCACCTGCACCTTGGGCCGGCTCAGGTACACCTTGTCCTGCAGGATGTGCGCCTTCAGCTTCCAGTTGAGACCGAACTTACTGGTTGGACCTAGAAAGTTCGAAGTGACCATCAGCTCCAGAGGCACGACTTTCTGCACGGAGAAGGGCCCGTAGCTGGCGTTGAGGACCGGGGGCCTCTTGGCCTTGTAGGTGAAGAAGGACTCAACCCTGGTGTGCAGGCTGGAGTTGCGCATGACGTCCTGGTGGGCCTCCTTCAGGAAGAAGGAGGTCTCCGCTCCGAGGATGCGGTAGCTCACGGGCAGGAAGGGTGGCAGAGAGGAGAACCGTGGAACGTTGTCTGTGACCCCTCGGCCCTCGATCACTGCAGGGGGCAGAGAAAGAAAAGGAAAGGACAAAGACGGGGTTATTGCTGGACTCCTTGGACAGCAGGTCCATAAGCAATTTAGAAATGAGGAGGAACATTCCAAAGCCCACATGGCCAGAATGTCTATGGTCTCCTGGGATCAGCCAGTAAAGGACCATATGCTAGTTATACACTTGTATTAGGTTGAAGCCAAGAAAATGTAGATTTTTGTATGTTTGGAATGATTCAACAGTGATGATTTCATAATGCCACCGAGCAGAAAGCTGGCAAGATAGCCATGAGTGTGGAGTTGGGATGTTTATTAATAATTTGCATGAGTTTAAAGCATTTTGATGGCATGGGTACATGGAGAGAAAAACAGACCAAGGGAATGGATGAGTCCGTAAATAAACTCACGTGTGCTTGGAAACGTAGCATGTGATAAAGATAGCCCCCAAGTCATGAGTCAGAGAGAGAGTTTCTCATAAATGCTACTAGGACAAAGGGCTAGCCCCTTGAAACAAAAGATACAACTTAAAAAAAAAAAAAAGGTACAATTAGATCCATACCTCACACCATACACAAGAATAAACGTCAAGGGAATCAGAGATCTACACATAAGGAAATAAAATTTTTCCAGTACTAAAAGAAGATAAGGGATGAACTCCTTCAGGAGATGGGTGTAGGGAAACCTTTCTAATGATGACTCAAAACCCAAATGCAATTTAAAAAAAGTGATAAACTTGCCTATGTAAAAATTTTTTAAATGTCTTCTGTATAACAACAAATTCATTAAGTCAAAAGGAAACACGGTGCCCTGGGAGATACTACAAACTGCTCGCTTACGGCACACAAACCAGCCTGGGCATGGGCTCTATTTGGTGCATGGTATTTTAGAAGACCGCTAAGAATGGGAACCATCTTGAACAACTGGGAAGTATCTGAGTTTCCAGCTTCTCTTTACACATCAGAGGACCTGGCAACCTTTATGCGTCATGTCCACATGGCAGCAAGGGGAGAAGTCACTCGGCAGGCCACGGGGCTCGATTCTGTTACCTGCTTGTATCAGTGCAGGTGCATCTGAGTTCCCTGACTGGAATCCACAGCGTGTGAGCCGTCCTGCCCTGGAGGCTGGAGTTCAGCGCTCAGACAGGCAAGAGCATCACCCCTGCCTTCCTGCCCTCCTCTGTCTATCACAGCCGTACGACCAGCAGGCTCCTTGCCGCTCGAAGGTTCCCTTAGCTTCCTCTTACACTGTGGCAGGCTCACTGAGGACTTGCTACACGCACAGGGCAAAGAGGTTCAAGTGCCCAATGGCTGACTTTGTAAAGCCCCCCAGAGCCCACAGCCATGCCCTTGTCTTTGAAAACCAGCCCAGAAATGCAAGTGGGCCCCCATTCATATAGCTGTCTCTCCTCCAGCAGCTCCACCCTCCCCCACTGGCCTTCAGCCCATCTAGCATATGGGGAGGCCTGTGTGTCTCTCCTCTGGAAGCTCCCCTAATCCTCCTCCCAGCAGGGACACTGGCTAGCAGATCAAAGCTGCCTTCCCTGGTGCTGAGGCCAAAAGGGCTTGGGTTGTCAAGATGGCTTTTCAAAGAAACAGCACCCTCCCTTGTTCTCTGCCAGAGGCTTTGTTCTAAGGCCCCCAGGAGCAAGGGTGATCCCCCTCTCTCTCTGAGGAATGTGTCTGCACGTCCATTTTAACCCTCTCCTTCCAGAACCAGGTAAAATCACCCTCCACATCCTCTGCCAAAGCAGAACATCCCAGAAAGATCACTGGCTCCACGTCCATCTAAGCAACTTAGAATATTTTGCAAAAACCAAACTAAATAGCCACATCAGATGTTTTGTTCCTGTGTTCTTGTCCCTCTCCAAAAAAAGCTCTTACACCTTGAAGTGCGGTGATTTAGAGATGGATCTGTTTGGGGATGGGGTCCTGATGGAGCAGGGAAGGATACACTCCATCATGGGAAGCACGACCAACAAGGCTTTTCTCCGTTCTTCACTCTCCCTGTGTGCACAGATTCATTTTTGCTACTACTTTTGGGTCCCCCCCCCAAAAAAGCCTAAAATATGAATCTCTTATGTTTTAGTAAATGCTGAGCTTGTTTTCTATAAAATAAAGCTGGAGTGGGCTTGCTTTCCTGCTGTCTCCTTTCTCAGGATTCTCCCTTATTTAAGTGGGTCACTCCTTCTCCTTCTCACAGAGGAAAAAGTGCCTCGGTCTTACTTTCCTGCTGAACCCGGTTCTGAGTTGTTCAGTTCATGAGAGATTTAATGTTAGGAAGAAGAGACAGACAAGGTGAAGAAAGTGGGTCTAGAATGGTGGTTAAGGGCATGAAGCTTGTTCACGGAGGCATTAAGGCTTGACCTACTCAGCCATCATTGGATCTTGACCAAGTTCTTACCTTCTGGGAGTTTCAGTTTCCATGGATGGATGGACGGATGGACGGATGGACAGAGGGGTGGATGGATAGATGGAAGGATGAAGAGATGGAAGGATGGATGGATGGACAGAAGGGTAGGTGGATGGATGGATGGGTGGATGGATGGGTGGATGGATGGGTGGATGGGTGCATAGGTAAATAGATAAATAGGTAGGTAGAGTCAGATATATGGGATATAATAGAAGTTGTATAGAGCAATTAAAAACAGCCCCAATTCTCCTTCTGTATCTACACCTTTTGCATGTGGCTCTGTGGTCTTCCGTTCAAGAGGAAGAGTCTATCGGCCTCCTTGAATCTATGCTAGTTGTGTGATTCATTTTGGCCAACGAATATGTCAGAGAGAATTTTAAGGGCAGTGAAAATACTATACGATACTGCAACAGTGGACACGTGTCATTATACATTTGTCCAAACCCACAGAACCTACAACACCAAGAGTGACCTGTAATGTAGACCACGGACTTTGGATACGTGGGAACTCTCTGTGCCTTCCTCTCAATTTTGCTGTGAATCTAAAACTGCTCTAAGAACACGGTCTCCAAAAAACGAGAAGTTATTGAGCACACACATTCCCATGACACCAAAGAACATCTCGCTCCACACACAAGGCTTCCAAGTGAAGACAGTGTCTCCCCAACACCAGGCATTCAGACGCTGCTCTCATGACATCAGCCAGATGTTTATGCATTGATAATCAATCAATGATTTTTTATCAATAATTAATACTTTATTACATACTTGATCAAACACCAGTGAATTAATGAATACATGTGTTTATAGAATCCCAGCGTAAATAAAAACAGGATCCCATGACCCCAATTGTTGCCAGTCTATGGCTCTGTGCCGGACATTTGCCATTTCTTTGTTAAATGGGGGTGGGGGGGCACATTCCTGTGTGTGAGGACCTCAAGATACAGTGACACCAAAATGAGACTCCCTCCTTGATGACATTAGAATAATTCAAAGAGAATTGAAAAGGGAATTGCTTTCTCATTTGTGAGACTCAGGTGGCTTCGTGCCACGTCCACACAGCCCCATGAGAATGGCTCCCCCAGGACCTGGGCCCACTGCCACCCTCCCAGGCTGTGAGTCTGTCCATCAGCTCAACTCAACTTCATCCCCTGATCCAGGGGATGAAGGAAGCAGAGGTGATTGCCAGCCGTGCCTGCATTTCTTTCTCTCCTGACACTTTGTCTGCTGATTGCCAGGGAATGATCTCCTGGCTGCTGGGACCAGTAGAGCCCAAATATGCCCCCTTGAATTCTCGTGGATCTGCTCACACTGTCTCTGCAGAAGATAGGATTATTTGGTCATTTTTATTGATCTGAAACAATAACCCTGCGAAAGCGCGATGCCGGTTTCCTAAGGCCATGGGAGAGGGAACGGGGGCGCCGGGGACAGCTGGACCTTTTTATCTAGGTTCCCCATTGACGGCACGTTCATTCGCCATCTGCCCTTCTGTTTATCCATTTTCTTTATCTGTGTCGCCTGTCAGTGCTGGGGAAATTGTGTCCTCCGTCACTTGCTCACTGGAGAACTCTACAGCAGAGCTGCCACCGGAAATTGAGTTTTTGAGATTCTGAGATAGTGAACCTAGGAGAACTCTGTGTCACTTAGCACCCAGACAGAATAACGCTGGGGGAAGTGACCCTTTGGGCCTGCGGGACGTGTCACCTTTATCACGACGCTCACTTGTGGATGTGGTGATGGGGATGGGTTCTTCGGAGCTGGTTCTCTCTGGGCTGGGTGGTGGAGCTTGGCCAGACTGGAGAGAGGACCCCTCCAAGAGAGGGTTGGGGCCTCGGCTTGTGAGGAGCAGGGAGGCAGTCTGCGAGCGTGGGAGGGGGCTGGAGTTTGTTCTGAATGGAGGAAGCACTGGACGCCCACAAGGGGTTTGGTAAAAATCCAAGCTCCTGCTTTCCTCTTCAACTGGAGAATGTAAAAACCAACACATGCCTTTCAAAAAGACAATCAGAGGGGAGGGGTTCACACCGTACTTGGTTTGCATTTGATTTTAAAGCATTGCCTGAGAGATTAAAAAAAAAAGTGCACATATCTGCTCATTTTACAAACAGGAAACCAAACACCTAGGAAAGTTAGTGCATTTGAACTCTACAAAAGAAAAAAAAATCACTGGAATCACCCAAATGTGTAAGTGGTATTGTTTTAAGCTATGCAAAGGGTCCTCAACTCAGGGCGAATTGGTCCCCGAGAGACGCCTGGTAATGTATGGAAAACTTTCTGGTTTTCACAAGCAGGGTTGGGGGAGCTCCTGGCATCCAGAGGCCGGAGCCCAGTGATGCCAACAGGACAGGTCCCTACCACAAAGTCTGTCCAGTCCTAAATGTCACTAGAGCCGACGCTGAGGAAGCCTGTCCAACCTGATTCCCGGGATGAGGTGTTCGTAGTGCATCCAAGGTACAGACGAGACAGAGGAAAGCTTCTGGCCAAACCCTCTTCCAAGCAGGGAGGGGAAATGTATCCTTGTGGGTTAAGGGCCTTCCTGATGTCACATGAAATCCAAGGAATCCCTGCTCTACCATGTACTAAAGATTTCGTTGCTATTATT